AATAAATAAAAAATTAACTCGATAAAAATTAACAAACGGGAAGAGGAAGAAAGCTGTGTTATTCGATTTCATAATATTGACGAGCGCCTGATTTCACCACGATGCCTCACAAATGATTCAGACGGCCCACGGCATGTACCACTTTCCCAAAGAGATATGTCACAGACTCACATGCTCCATGCCTACTTTGAGGGGTTCCAGATACGATTCTGCGCTGCACGGATCAAAATAAGGGAATGTCAGCGTAAGTGTTGAAATTATACCAAGTGCTCTCCACAGAAGTTTTCGACAGATTCCTGTTTTATAGTAGGGCCTCCGATTTCCTGCATGTTGGCAGGCGGCCAGGATCCCCTTCAACTTCAAGGAGGGGTAAAATATACCATTTTGGAATATTTTGATGGGTAAAATACACCATTTTTACACTATTTGATGGGTAAAATACACAATTTTGGCACCACACAAGAGCAAACCTGTATGGACTGTGGATCTATGTGAGGATTTTGACCTATCTTTAAAAATCAAAAAATGAGCCCAAAGTCAGTGGACCCCCGAGAATCAGTAGACGAAATTTTGGGGTATATTTTTTCCAAAAGGGACTATTTTCACAAGTTACTAAAACTTCCCAATATTCTGTCCCCGGGGTTTTAGGCACCCCGCATAATTTAGCAAAATTTGCTAATTTTTTTGCATAATTTCTTACTATTTTCCTTTATCATTCTTTAATTGTTAAGAACAACAGAATCGCATAATTTCACATTTTGGGGCTCAGTTTGCATAATTATACATTTTTTGGCATAAAACCGCGCGGACAGAATATTAATATGTTCCTTTCTAAAGAAGCCGAGCCTAGAGGGAGGGCAGCACCATCTCTGTACACTCCTACATCAATCTTCTCTTAAAATACCTATTCACGTGTCAGTGACACTGGGGTTTTTTATTGTTGTTTAGTAAGTGTTTTACGGCACTTGCAACACAATAAGGCTATAATAAGTGCCGAAGACGAGAGCCTAGAGGTGTTACAAGAGAGTAACAAACACAAAAAAGAAGGAGGGGAGATAAGAATGATACATTATTATGTTTGATAGGAAAGAAGGAGCAAACCACACCCGAACACCCACCAACCACCCCCTAAGAAAGTGTTTTACGGCACTTGCAACTCAATAAGATGATATAAATGAAATGTTGAAGATTACAGCAGGTGTTAAAGAAAAGAAAATTAAATTAATTTCAAGTTATTGATGGCAAAAAGCCGTAAGTTTTTTAGATGTAGAGCTAAAAAAAAGATTCCTTTACACTTCATCCCTTCCCAACCCTAACAAACATACAAACAAACACACACATACACACACCAAAACAAAATAATTTTTTAAAAATATAAGACTGAAAAACAAACAGAATAGATATTGTGACACAAATGTATTAATTATTATACATTATATCACATGACATGTGCCCGCACGCACATTATATCACATGACATGTGCCCGCATGCACATTATATCACATGACATTGAGACATTTCACTGTTTCAGGGTGACATTTTTTGTCAGATATTTCACACAATGAATAACTAGATTGCGCAATTAAATTTTAAAAAACAAACAAAAAAACCCTGTAAACATAAAGAACTCTTAAATTAACAGTAAACAATATACAAATGGAATACAATATTCATATTAAGAACCACTCAAAAAACACACTCACACCAGTATCAATCATACTAGAGGAGAAAATTAAAATGAACATCATCAAATGAAACACACTATGACATCTGATATGTTTCAATACAGTACAGTACTCAGCATACTTTATACATAATTTGTTGGGTTTCTTTCTATAGATTTATTCATTCACAATTCAGAACCGCGTTCTTTTTACACAATTCACATGGCTGGTGCCTCTAAAAATAAATAATTGATGGTCACTTCCACCGGCTTCAATCCTTCCCACCCTCCTCTGCCATGCCTGTCAATCAAGTTGAAAAGAAACCCTTTCAAGTTTCTGGACGGAAAAGATAAAATTTAAAAAATTCTCAATATGGATCAACAAAACTGTTTTTCCTTTCGAATATCGGGACAATAATATGTGTCCCGAGGTACAGTAGAACATGGACAGCTCAAGTTCGTCGACACAGGCCTCGGTGGTAGGTTGAGGGTTGAGGGATTTGTGATTCGAGGGATAGCTTACAAAGATAAAGAAGAAGAAAAAATACAGGACTGCAGGCACAGTTCGACGGATGCGTGATTTCGAGTCTTCTGTATTCAGCCTATCCGTGCTAAACTGTTGTATTGAGGGGAAATCAAACATAAGCTCTGTTTATCAGCAAGGGGCACAACCCAACAACTAGAGGGTTAGCTTAGTTTTAGTAAGAGTTTTACGTCACTTGCAACACAGTAAAGTCATATAAGTGTCGAAGATTAGAGGTGTTACAAGAGAGTAACAAACACAAAAAAGAAGGAGGAGAGATCAGGACGATAGATGTTTGGTAGGAAAGAAGGAGCAAACCACACCAGAGCACCCGCCAACCACCCACCTTGAAGTGGCCAACTAAGTGAGGCAATAAAGTAAGTTTGATCATTTGAGCCGTGGGACTCTGAAACTACAGGACTTCTAAACACGAGCTCCTTTGCAAGATATAAAGTGCAGCCTCTCTAGAACCACATCATCCGGACCAGAAAAAAATGTCAGTATAGAGAGGTAACCAAAAATTACTAATGATATGATATAAGGAAAAAATGGGGACCTGGGCACCGTGTCGCTATACAGATAGTGTCGTTATATCGATTATCATTATAGAGAGAGGTTGCACTGTACCATAACACGACACAACACGTTGTGATATGGACTCCATGTGGAGAAAGGAAAAAAATACCACAAGCCTGAGCTTTAGCATTATGAGCCAACCACAGAGCTGGAACTGCCACCACAATGAACACATCAAACTAAAAAAAGCCACATTTTTAGCAAATTGCAGTCTAGCACGCACAAAGCGAAATCAGTGGGACATGGAAATCTTTTCATTACGTAGTTTGAATTTCAAAATGGTTGTGGTTTATTAGACAAGGACTAAACACGGAAAAGAACTAATTCAGAGCCTGAGAATCTGTTCGCTAAGTGTGTGGAGTGTTAGACTCAATGTTTTCTGATGCAGTATAAAGCAACCAGGGCCATTAGCCACAGAGAACTAGGTCTCAGTCATCCTTGGATCATCCTTGGATCGTCCTTCGATCATCATTCAATCGTCTTTCGGTCATCCTTCCATCCTCCTTCGACCATCCTTCGAACGTCCTTCCATCATCCTTCGGTCATCCTTCAATCATCCCTCGGTGGTAACTAGTCAGCCTGAGATGTGTCCAGTCATGCGAAGAATTTCAGCCGCAACAGTAGTCAAGGCAACATCAGCGTGGGAACTGCAACAAATCAAAAACATAGTCGTAGCTTACTTAAACTTGATCTTCTTATAAATGCTATAATTGTTCATTTCAGTAAGAGTTTTATAGCACTTGCAACACAATAAGGTCATATAAGTGTCATATATTAGAGGTGTTACAAGAGAGTAACAAACAAAAAAGAATGAGGGGAGATAAAGACGATAGATGTTTGATAGGAAAGAAGAAGCAAACCACACCAGAACACCTACCAACCACCCACATGCTATAATTTAATTGGCATGGACAAAAAGAAAAACCTTTGTGAATATCAGTGACTTCAGTTGCCCTACTTCAGACTCTGATTGACCCTTCGTTTCCTGTGAATCAAATGAGGAGTGTCACAGAACACATTGTATGTACATAATATGAAAAGATGAATAAACGAGATTTCAGATCAGCCGATCGACCTCTCTGTGGTCAGTCGGCTCAAACAGGGCGGAAATGCATTCAAAACAAGCTCTTGTGACGGTCCCCCAAATTTTGCACTAATGTCACTTTCCATTATACCTGCTGCACAATGTTTTAAGTCGCTCGAGTCAGGAACTCCGCGTGATATTCATGCAGATATGTGTCACTGTGCCAGGTCTCGGAAGTAAAATAAGCGAGAAAATGGCCGCCAAAGTTTGGTAATTTCAATAGCTTGAGAGTCACTGAAAACTGGGAATTTACACATTCTGCACCTTTAACCTATGTTTTCCAGGAAAATTCACATGGAAATGTGTTCTTATAACTCTTATATCGCCATAAAAGTGGTCGAGCCAAAAAACAAAAATTCGATAAAAATTGACAAACTGGCAGAAAATTCCTGTTCCTTCGATTTCATTATTTCAATGAGTGCCTGATTTTACCATGATGCCTCACATGTATATTCATTATGTGAGGGGTGCTGACAAAATGAGTTACTTCTCGGATTTTAACCGTATGGAAAAAGATACTTCAAATTCATAGGTCGGGTTTTTACAATTTTTTAGTATGAAATGATAAAAGACATGTTAAGTTTGAAGAGAATGACATTGGTTTAGAATCTATAAATATGACCTTTGAGTTGAATTTCGGCCGATATCTCCATTCGTGGAATGCGAGAAGTGCCTCATTTTGTCAGCACACCTCACATATTATAGCCTGCCTGATATTCTTTTTGTACAAAGCAGTTAAAAGTTCACCTGGCAGTGTCAGCGAGTGACTGGATAGTCTTGGCCAGCTTGTCTCCGTGTTTCTTCATCGACTCCAAGTGTCGCGAGTCTGTGGTCAGCTGGACAAAAGAAATATCTGAATGAGTCAAGAGCGGGGAAACAAATCTCAGAGAAGGCTACACAGAACGTTACTGGTGCCCAAACCACCACTTCCAACACTGATTGGCAGAGGGGCAACAAATAAAGAATGAAGTACAATCAGGGATGCCAAATGATTTTTGAAAAAAACCCTGAAAATGAGCGGAGCATCACACCTCACCTAAAACGAACCTTGTAAAATCTTTACATGAGCAAACAAAAACATTTCTCTTACCATTCCCCTTTCCTTCGCAAGTGTATGAAAAAAACGGAAAAACCGGAGATTTGGCATCCCTGTACAAGGAACAAAGGGAATTTGACAAAGGAGAAGTGTGGAAGACCCTGGAGGAAAAGTTGCTGGATGAAGAAGACAGGGAGACAGCAGAACAACACGCAATCATTAGGATGCAGGAAATGGGAATAGAGAGGGGAGAAGGAAGAAAGGAACGATTATCGGGACAGGAAAGACATCGCCATAATCAGACAGCCACTGGAACAATCAGTATGGATATATTGCGGGCTTTGGTGCTGGGGGGAACTGAGCATTTATGGACCTGTCCAGTGTGCAATGACGTTGTAGCCCAGGACAGGTAAAAAGTAAAGTAAGCAACAAGTAAGAACAGCTTTTCAAGCGTCACTGAAGAAAATAAGCAGGTGGCTTGCTTCATATTGCCAGCTTCTGTGGTGTAATGAGCAGCTCTTTGTTATTTTTTTTTTAGTTTTAGTAAGGTTTTACAGCACTCGTAACTGTATACCGTCATATGAGCGCCAAGGGGTGGATGTCAACAGAGAAGTCCAAATGGGAAATCAGGCTTACTCTGCTCACCTCTCTAGCTTCAACAGCACAAAGCCTATTTCAACTATCAAGACACCGCGGAAATAGCAGTTCACAAGAGAGTGACAAACATACAAAAGAAGTAGAGGAAAATAACGATAGTAAGGATGAGGAAAGAAAAAGCAGCAGTTCCCCCTATGTTGTTCCAGCACAGTATGAGCATGACATTGACAAATCAGCCCATTTACAATTCTACTGTGTATAAGAACAGGTTAACATCCCCCCTTTGGGAATGGCCTAAAGACACTTCAGTCAGTAGCACCGCCCTGGTGGAGAGGTTTCAGTGGTGCGATGGCTAGGCTCTTTGTTATCTGAACAAAAGGAGAGAGTTTGAATCCTACAATGGGAAAGTATTGTATGTGTCACAATGTCCTGAAATCAGGTTCTCATCAATTTTTTGGCATATGGAGTTTTTATTGACACTATCTTAAAGTTTGTTCATTTGTCTTGATTACAATAAAACAACTACCCATCTACCTTCAATAGAAGTCAAAATATTTCGGATTGAAGGAAGTGTGTGGGGGGGGGGGGGGGGGGGTCACGTGGTTTCAGAGGTAAAACTAGAGAAAAGTTTGGGGACTTCCACAGCTTGACAGTCCTTGAAAACTGCAAATTGGCATTTTATGTACTTCTGATCAAAGTTTTTCAGTACAATCCACACAGAAAAGTATTTTTTAATAAACAATAAAGGTGTTAAGTCAAAAAACAAAAATTCTATAAAAATTGCAAAGCCAGTGGAAAAATGCCAGTTTCTTCCCAGGATCCCAGTTCTACATTCAATTCAAGTAGTTCAAGTCCAGACTTGTAAAGTCGACTGAAACATAATATGTTTTTCTTACCAGTCGCTTGATAACCCTCAGAAGTACTTTTTGCTTTTTCGCTTCTGTCGTCCTTAGAGCTTTGCTGTAATACTCCTGAAATGACAAATGTTCAAAACAGATGTAAATATAAAAAAGATACTAAATTCTAATGATACGTACTGTTACTGCCATTTTGTCATTTGCATTTTGTAGCACTTTAGCCTTTATAAAATTATGACTGTTTGACTTAGATGTGTGACTAATTTAACACTTTCCACTCACGCAACGCGCAGAGCGTGCAACACTTCTCCCCACAGACCAGGATACAGATGCTGTACATTCTATTTCTATATCACACGGACCAGGATACAGATGCTGTACATTCTATTTCTATATCACACGGACCAGGATACAGGTGTGGTACATTCTATTTCTATATCACACCGGCGCCGATCAGCATCCCAAGGGGGTAAAGAGTTAAGAAACAGACTTCCATACTCTGACCCTCAAAGACACATTAGATATGTTCTTTACACATAAGTTGGCAGCTACGCAGCAATAATAACAATAAGACTGTTCCTTTGAACAAGGTTGCAGTTACAAGAAAACCAAAACCTTCATTTTAGTAAGTGTTTTAGTTTTCATAAGAGTTTTACAGCACTCGCAACACAATAAGGTCATGTAAGAGCCGAAGATTAGAGGTGTTACAAGAGAGTAACAAACACAAAAAAGAAGAAGGAGAGATAACAATGATAGATGTTTGAAAGGAAAGGAAAGAAGAAGCAAACCCCACAAGAGCACCCGCCCACCACCCACAAGCACACCCTCACCATATTGTCGGGCGCCATGGCTTCTCGACTCTCTCCGCCGAAGAGCTGAACCAGGAGAGACAAACACTTGATGGACAGATCTTGAATCTCCGCGTCTTCGTAACACAGCTGAGGAACAAAGCATGTACGTGTCATGACGTGATGGCATCAGGCGCTTGTCAAAATAATAACATCGAACGAATCGGCATTTTTCGGCCAGTTTGGAAATTTTTTTCCGAATTTTTGTTTTTTGGCTCAACACCCTGTATGTCCATTCAAAAACATTCTTATGTGTGGATTTTATAGAAAAATGTTGATTAAAAGCACAAAAAATGTACATTTGCAGATTCCAATGACTCTTGAGCTATGGAAGTCACCAAACTTTGGCGGCCATTTTCTTCTAAATTTTATTTCTGAAACGAGGCGACCCCACTTCCTTCAATCTGAAATATCTCGACTTGTATTAAATATAAATGGATGATATTTTTTCATCAAAAGTAAGACAAATGAACAAGCTTTAAGATGATACCAACATTGCCAAGACGTGGTGGAATCAGGTGCTCATCAATTTTTGGGCATGTGGAGTTATTGGTATCTTGTGAAAGCTGATTTATTTGCCTTGCTTCCAACACTATGGGGGGAGTTATGTGTTTGAACTATCTTCTTGTGTACGATCTTTGCTACGGAATCTTATAGGGTACGATCTTTGTCTCAACTCACCAACTGAATGAGCAAAGAGTTAAGGTACTCACCAACTGTGTGAGCAAAGAGTTCAGGTACTCACCAACTGTGTGAGGATAGAGTTAAGGTACTCACCAACTGTGTGAGGATAGAGTTAAGGTACTCACCAACTGAGTGAGCAAAGAGTTAAGGTACTCACCAACTGTGTGAGCAAAGAGTTGAGGTACTCACCAACTGTGTGAGGATAGAGTTAAAGTACTCACTAGCTGTGTGATCACAGAGTTAAGGTACTCACTAGCTGTGTGATCACAGAGTTAAGGTACTCACTAGCTGTGTGATCACAGAGTTAAGGTACTCACTAGCTGTGTGATCACAGAGTTAAGGTACTCACTAGCTGTGTGATCACAGAGTTAAGGTACTCACTAGCTGTGTGATCACAGAGTTAAGGTACTCACTAGCTGTGTGATCACAGAGTTAAGGTACTCACTAGCTGTGTGATCACAGAGTTAAGGTACTCACCAACTGGGTGAGCAAGGAGTTGAGGTCAGTCAGGGACTTGTTCATCATCAATAGCTGCTCACCAAACTCAGCCTCCTTCTGAGAACCCTCCCCACCTTTGTTCTTCACCTGCACGACAATTGGCACACATGTATTTGATTGATTGTTTTGTCGAGTTTCTAGTTTTAGCAAGAGTTTTACGGCACTTGACAATGACAATGACAATGACAATGACAATGGAGCTTGCAACACAATAAGGTCATATTCATATAAGTGCCGAAGATTAGAGGTGTTACAAGAAAGTAACAAACATTAAAAAAAGGAGGAGAGATAAAGACGATAGATTTTTTATAGGAAAGAAGGAGCAAACCACACCAGAGCACCTGCCAACCACTCAAATTTTGTTTAGTTTGGAAAGAGTTTAGTATAGTTTTAGTAAGAGTTTTACGATAAAATAAGAAATGAAGAGCTGTGGGAAAGGACAGGACAAGAGGATATAGAAGAAGAAATAGGACTAAGAAAGAGCCGAGAGTCATCAGCCACCATGGTTCTCCATTCATTCATTTTCTCCCATGCTCTTAAAAAAGCTCCATTTCCCTGATCTTTCCCCATTACCCATTTGTTTAGGTTCCCTAAGTATGTTGTTCTGGGCCTACCCCTGCCTCGCTTGCCCTCAATTTTGCCAGTGAGAGCTAGATGTTCAAGACCCTTATGTCTATTTAGGTGTCCCAAAAACTGCATTTGTCGTTTCCTGATTGTTTTTAACATTGAGCGTCCCACGTGGGCTTCATCAAGCACTACCTCATTTGATTTATTTTCCTTCCACAATAATAATAATAAATAGCATTTGTATAGCGCATGTCCACACTCGAAAGCAAGCTCTATGCGTTTTACACTATATTATTACTCCAGCAGACCATAGAACACTCAGAAACATTATCAGCTTCCCTGGAAGATACAGTGCAAGCAGCTGGTTAAGCGCTCAAACACTAACAAACTGACATGATCTGTCACTGTCTATATTCTTAGCAGTAGTCAAATAGTACAAAAGATGAAGAGATATGGGCTGCACATACTAGGAGTCAGCGAAACACAGTGGTTACAGTCTGGACAGAAGCAGCTCAGCTCGGGGAAGTCAGGCAGCTGCATAACAAAGAAAGTTTTGGATTGGAACCCACAGGGTAAGAGATCAAGGGGAAGACCACGTGGAACCTGGAGAAGTATCACAGAAATCGATGTAGAGAAAAGTGGGAAGACATGGAATAACACCAACAGGCTAGCCCAGGAGAGAGAAAGGTGGAAAGTGTTTGTTCGTGGCCTATACCCAGGTGCAGGGTGAGAAAGTGTTTGTCCGTGGCCTATACCCAGGTGCAGGGTGAGAAAGTGTTTGTCTGTGGCCTATACCCTAGTGCAGGGTGAGAAAGTGTTTGTCCGTGGCCTATACCCTGGTGCAGGGTGAGAAAGTGTTTGTCCGTGGCCTATACCCTGGTGCAGGGTGTGAAAGTGTTTGTCTGTGGCCTATACCTTGGTGCAGGGTGAGAAAGTGTTTGTCCGTGGCCTATACCCTGGTGCAGGGTGAGAAAGTGTTTGTCCGTGGCCTATACCCAGGTGCAGGGTGAGAAAGTGTTTGTCCGTGGCCTATACCCAGGTGCAGGGTGAGAAAGTGTTTGTCTGTGGCCTATACCCTAGTGCAGGGTGAGAAAGTGTTTGTCCGTGGCCTATACCCTGGTGCAGGGTGAGAAAGTGTTTGTCCGTGGCCTATACCCTGGTGCAGGGTGTGAAAGTGTTTGTCTGTGGCCTATACCCCGGTGAAGGGTGAGAAAGGCAATGATGATGGTTCTTAGCAGTCTCCTGAGAAACCACACACAAGAGGACTAGAAAAAGGAAAAAGAAGAATGTTAACCCCCACCTGCAGCGCTTTGCGAACGACCTCGGAGACGTAGCGCAGGATGGCGCTGAGCGTGTCCAGCAGAGTGAAGAGCATGGTGACGGCCGTCTTCACGTCGCGACCTCCCTCCTCCCCCTCGCACACCGAGTTCCACACCTCGAAGAACATGTTGGTCAGGTGGTCGATGAGGCCTGTCAGAACGAGGGACAAAAATGGGTCATATACATCTATCTATATGTGTGTGTATATATATATACAGATCACACTAATAGGTGAAGTTTATACAATTTAAGAAAGGGGGATATGGCTTTTCTTTGGGTTACATAAAAGAATTTCAGTTTTATTTTCATTAAGCTGGAGCTTAATATCAATCATCCAGTTCTTGACTGTTAATGGATAAACTCACCTTAAAGAGGTCTACCTTTTAGTAAGATTTTTACGGTACTTGTAGCAAAATAAGGTCATATAAGTGCTGAAGATTAGAGGTGTTACAAGAGAGTAACAAACACAAAATAGAAGGAGGGTAGATAAAGACGATAGATGTTGGATAGGAAAGAAGGAGCAAGTCACACCGGAGCACCCCCCAACCACTCACCAAAGATCTCTTTGAAATTTTCAGTATTTCTCAAAAAATCATTTTGACAGACTGCTATGCAAAGCGTACGGATCGGATTAACGAGTAAATTTTCTCTTTGGAAAGTGGTGGCACAGAGTTCCCTACGTCGTATGGATACGATAGTAAAACACGATGTACGGATAGGGTTAAAAACAGCTCATAGAATCCGGAAAGAAAAACTCAAAACAGTAAAAAAAAACCCACCAAAAAACCAACTAAAATCTCTCAACAAAACTAATCAAAACCGTCAAACGGTTTGCCCACTCACCCTGATCATAGAGTTCCCTCATGTCTGTCTCCTTGTGGCTCACCAGACAACTCACCACGGCCACCACGCCCTGCATCACGCGACCCAGCGGGTTGTTCTGGTGGTCCTGGGGCATTGAGGATAACAACAACAAAATGAATACAATCAAACAACAACAAAATGAAATAGAGGTAAAATTAGCCAGGAAATGGCCACCAAAACTTGATAACTTCCAAAGCTGGAAAGTCCATGAAAACTGTAAATTTACATTTAGTGCCTTGAATCAACATATTTCAGTAAAATCCTCACAAGAATTTGTTTCTAAATGAACACAAAAGGTGATAAGCCAAAAACCAAAAATGTATCAAAATTGCCTTGCGGGAAGAAAAATTAATAATGTTTTCTTTCATTTCATTATTTTGACGAGCCCCTGATTTCACCACATTGCCTCACATTTGTCGACTATCTTCGTTGAACCCGGCACTAGATCCTCAAACAACTGCACAAAGACAGAGGGCTTAGTTATAATTCTATTTGTGTCACGACGCGGTGGAATCAGGCGCTCGTCAATTTTGAGCAAGTGGAGTTATTGGTATCATCTTACAGTTTATTCTATTCTCTTGATTGACATGCAAATAGGTACCCATCTGTCTTTAATAGGAATCCTGATATTTACAACTGAAGAGGTGGGTGTCGCCTGATTTCAGAGGTAAATTTGCGAAAAAATGGCGGCCAAAGTTTGGTAACTTTCATAGTCTGAGGGTCCTTGGAAATTAAAAATTTACAATTTTTGTTCCTTTAATCGAAATGTTTCAGTGAAATTCAAACAGAAATATGTATTTAAATGGACGTAAAAGATGTTGAGCCAAAACACAAAAATTCGATAAAAATTGCCAAACCGGCAGAAAAATACAGCATTTTTTTCTATTTCATTATTTTGACGAGAGCCTGATTTCACCACAATGCCTCACATTTCGCGACCTCAGTGCTTTCTTGTCGGATCTCCATTTTTTTAAACAGTGAAAACAGTTCATAACAAAGAGTGAGCTTAAGAAGAAGTCACATTTTTAATGAAAAAAAAAAAAGAAGATACCACATAAAGCACTGAGGTCGCCGTTTGTGTACCCACTTCGTTGATCCCGGTACTTAATCACCAAACAACAGCACAAAGACAGAGGGCATATTTCTAAGTCTATTTGAGTATACCCCTTAGCCAAAGAATCCCACATGGCGTCACAGAGACTCTCAGCGTAATCCTGTTATTCCAGTTGTAATGAGTGAGGCAGCGTGGTGAAATCTGGCGTTATCAACAAAATGATGAACTCAAAGAAACAGCCATTTTTCTGGACCGTGGGCAATTTTTTCCAATTTTTCTTTTTATTATCTCAACATCTTTTATCACCTTTTAAAAACACATCTCCGTGTGGATGTTAATAAAAATCGTAGATTAAAGTCACAAAAAAAGTAAATTTACAGTTTCCAAGGACTTTCAGGCTATGGGAGTCCAAAAACTCTGGCGGCTATTTTCTTGCGAATGTTACTTCTGAAACCAGGCAAGCCCATCTCCTTCAATCAGAAAATATTTCAAGTTCCATCAAGGTACGTGGGTATTATTTTCATCGAAATATCGACAAATGACCAAGCTGTAAGATGATTCCAATAACTCCATAAGCCCCAGCACCGACGAGCGCCTGATTTCACTGCGACATGCGTGATACATCTCAGTCTCAGTGATTAACCCTTCCAGTCCCAGCCATTTTTGTGCACTCCCTCACCCCAGTCCCAGCCAACACAGCAGTAGTTCAGAAAAAGAGGCGTGCATTCTAAAAAGTGATATAGTATCTTTGTAATGAAGTTTAGATAATAACATATTACAAAGTTTAAAGGTAAATGAACAAATATTATAAAAATTAAAGTTTAATTAGGTTCACTAATTTTGAAATGCAAATTCTGTTACCCCCCCCCCCCCCCCCCCCCCAGAAACTGTGAGAATATACACTCTTGGGACGGTGGGAGATACAAGCCCTGCTGAAAATGGTCGCTTTTAAGCACAAGGGGGCTATCCCGAAAAATGCTGTTTTGAGAAAATTGAAGATAAAGTTTTTGCCCCTTGTTCAGTTTCCTTAAAAAACAAGGAGAGCTTTCTCTATAACCAAACAAATGTACACACCAAAGAAACCAAACTTCTCCTATAGGTAGGGCAACCCCCACTTTTGATGTAGGTCAAGATTTCTGGAAACCCCCGAAATCTGGGTTAGCCCGCCTGTCTTAAAAGCGATCAAATATACACGCATGGGGCTGGAAGGGTTAACTTTTGATAAGTTGCTAACTGCACCCGCCAGGACTGACCATGAGGACTTGGAAGATGACCACCACCAGGCCTTGGGCTTCCATCTGTTTGATGAACGCCGGGTTGTGTTCTAGCAGCGCCAGCAGCAGCTTCAGGGCGTAGCTCGGGAGGGGGTCAAGGTCAAGCAAGATGGGCTCAAACCTGGGCACGGAAAATGTCATCAAGTTTTGTTTCATTAAACATACAAGAGAGGCGGGGCAAGGAGGAGGAAGAGTTGAGATGGTGGGAAGAGAGGTGGGGTGGGGGGGGGTGAGAGGATGTGGGTTGTGGGGGTGTGGGGGGGTGAGAGGATGTGGGTTGTGGGGGGGGGGGTGTGAGGGTGTTTTAGTTTTAGTAAGAGTTTAACAATACTTGCAACACAACAAGGTCATATAAGTGCCGAAGATTAGAGGTGTTACAAGAGAGTAACAAACACAAAAAAGAAGGAGGGAAGATAAAGACGACAGACATTTGGTAGGAAAGAAGAAGCAAACCACACCAGAGCACCTGCCAACCACCCACTTTTTCAATGTTTAAAAAAAGGAGATTGGACAAGAAAACACTGATGTCGCAAGATGTTTCCCAAGGTCATAACATCAACTCACTGTGGTAAGAGCTTCTCCGAGATGATGGCGTGTAGCTGTGTCGTGTTGACGCGCGTGTCGGTGATGCCAAACTGATCCTGTGTCAGGAACACGGAGGCTATCTCGCCAAACAGATGCAGCGCCTGCGCCTTTGTGTCCACTGAAACATTGTTTATATTACTGGTCATTAAAAATTGTAATAAGCATGGGACTGTTTGCGAGTGCAAGCATATTGTTTGCGTGTGCATGTTTGTGTGTGTGTGTGTGTGTGTGTGTGTGTGTGTGTGTGTGTGAGAAGTGAGTGTGTGTGAAGTGAGTGTGTGTGTGTGTGTGTGTGTGTGGTAGGCAGGGTGAAACACAAAAAAAAGGTGCCAGGATCGGGACAATAAAGATGTATCTTATCTTATCTTGAACAAAAAAATAGCAATAATGATCAAGTACACAAAAATATAAGAAAACTATATCACATTTCTTTGAAACAGAGAGGACGAGAAAGCCGAAATCTTTTTGAAAATGCCTACAAAACAGTACATTTGTTTTATCAACTGCAAAACAGAAAACAAAGAAATCAAATATAGGTTTATCTCACTTGAGCCTGAACTATTTTTCACCCAACAACCATTTCAGACTGACAGTTTTGGGGTACATTGAATCGTTAACCGTAAAAAGACCGTGAGAGCTATCATAATGCGAAAAAAGCAACAAAACGAAGAAAGAAATGCCTTCACAGAAAAGTAAAACTGCATCTGATTAGTCCAAATAGTTTATATTTTATCAATATTTTGAAATGGCAATGTCTGGGGGTTACGCAAATTTTTTTGGGAGCCCAATTTATGATAAAAGCATCTGTCGTAATGTGGAGGTGACTGACTCGGTCCCTCACAGCTCAAAAAGTATCACACATAGCTACACAAAATTTGTATACAAAACAAGTAGGTCGGTCGTTGGACTGCAACTTCCCATAGCTTGTAACCAAAGTACACGCGAGATATCGATCGATAAAGCGCATTGCATCCCGTAAATACATGGGATTAGGCAACAGGGCCGGAGGGGTGTCCCGTAAATACACAGGGATAGGCTCAAGTGAGTTAACTCTTTATCTCCGGCAAGCCACTCCAAGCGGCTTGCGGTCAGAACCACCGTGCCCGTGAGTCGCTGACAGCGGCTTGGGCACATTCCTTTACGATGACTTCGACATCAAATTACTCTCTGGCAATTGCCCAAAACAGGTGAAAGTTAATTCATTAGATAAAGAACTTTCAAAGTAGATTTGCTGGTTTCGATTTGAAGACCCATTTAATGACGTTTTTGTCATTTTTAGATTTAGCATCAAAAAAGGGCCCCGGCATAGAGGCTTTACCCCCCTCGGAGATAAAGAGTTAAGCTACCACCGACAAAACGTGCTTGAGTGGAGAGGAGAACAGAGAAGTGGAGTCACTCACCGTTCTGACACGCGACCAGAGCCGCCAGTTGGGGAAGCACTGTCTCCATGACAACCACGTTGTGCTCGATCAGCAGTGGAGGATGCTGGGATATCCCCTCCAAGACCGACAGCGACGACCCGACAAACTCTGCCACGCTGATGGACGCTGGAGACAGACAGTGAAGTTTCTTAGTTTTAGTAGAGGTTTTACGGCGCTCGCAACTGCATAAGGTCATGTGAGCGCCAAAAGATAAGAGGTGTTACAAGAGAGTAACAATCATAAAAAAGAAGAAGGGGAGATAAAGACGATAGATGTTTGATAGGAAAGAAGAAGTAAACCACACCAGAGCACCTGCCAACCACCTACTGACAGACAGTTAAGTACCGCGTCACTTAAAAAGAACACATTAGCTCTAGCTTTCCTAAAAAGTGTCATGGACAAGTTCAGACATGATCCAAAAATACTATTCACCGAGGTGGCAGTGTGACTTGGTGTGAGTGTGTACATCATTGGAAAAACGCTGGCAAAACATATATATATATATATATATATATATAATATTGTGAAACAAATCTAAAATATCTTCATAACAATATCAGCAACACATTTGAGGACAGCACAACTGTGTCAAGACGCGATGGAATCAGGCGCTCATTAACTGCATAAGGTCATATGAGCGCCAGAAGATTAGAGGTGTTACAAGAGAGTAACAAACATTTTAAAAAAGGAGGGGAGATAAGGAAGATAGATGTTTGATAGGAAAGAAGAAACAGACCACATCTGAGCACTGTATGCTTCCGCGGAAGCCGAGAATGTTTCTGAGTGTTCTCAGAGGGTCTGCTGGGGTAATAATAGTTGTAAAGCGCATAGAGCATGCTCTTGAGCCTGGATATGCTCTATATAAATGCAATTATTATTATTATTAGATCGCTTTTTACAAAAATATTTCTTGTGACTGAAAAGAAAAGAGTTCACTATGTCAATACACCATCTATCGATGAGTAATACTAATAGATAGCATTTGTAGAGCAAATATCCCCGCTCAACAGCAAGCTCTATGCGCTTCACAATCTGTACTATTACCCCAGCAGACCTGAGAGCATTCTGAAACAACCTCAACTTCCTGAGAAGCATACAGTGCAGGCAGCCATTCATTTGTTAAAACACTAACATACTGACAAGATCTTTCACTGTCTATGGCCGGGTACCCATTCCCACCTGGGTGAAGTGAGGAAAATTTGTGTAAAGTGCCTTTCCCAAGGACACAACGTCAGGCCCGCGGCTTGAACCCCCGAACCCACAACCTCACGATTACGAGTCTGGTAGCCTTACCACTAGACCACCGACGCCACAAAAACTTGGAACACGTCATGTTGTCTCGTATAAATTACTCTATCCCACTGGCAAGCTTCTTTGTCTAAGTTTGCATCAATTTCTCTCCAATCATCTCATAATCATCCATTCTACCTTGATATCATTGTTTGGAAAGCAGAGCAGGAGGGAGAGTCCTGTTTGAATTTCAGAAAAAATAAAACATTATAATACAAAATGTTTAAAACTTGTTGAATAGACACAGCTCAGCAGTCCGCCTCTTGGGTTTCCTCTGGAGCAACAGAGAGGAAAACTAAATGGGCGCTGTATACTAGCAGGGAAATGGGCCTAACAAAGGGGGTCTTAAGATTACGTGTGGTTACAGGCTAGACGGAAGTAACTCAGAGCGAGCCAGGCCAAGGGGCTGATTAGAAAGAAATTGATGCTAGTCTCCTCCTTGCTCTCCACATTTCTTTGTTTCATATCTATGCTCTGTCTTCCTCTATTCTTTGTCCCTTTACTCATTTTACTCACACACTCCTCCCCTTTCCCTCCTTCCAACCACTCTATATCTAAGCAAAATCCTCTAGCAGTATGCTTGGCACGGTATGTGAAACCCTCTTTTTTGTGGAAAGATACAAAGGAAGAGAAATCATTACTCACTGGCTGAGATTTGTTCTTCCATTTATTGAACATAACGAATAAGAGATTGAAACCTCTATAGTAAAGATCTACCAAACTACAAGTGAAAATAGAATTAAAACACTAGTGATTTATATATGTATATATAATAGGTAATATACATATTTCATGTTATTCATTTATACATTTTCTATCTATCTGTGAATCTATCTATGACTGAAACTGCTGAGGAGAAGGGAAAGAGTTGATATATATATATATATATATATATATATATATACGCCAATACTTGATAAAAGCCAAAAACTGAAGAACACTTTGCATATAATAGAAAACACACTTGAAGCAGAGATATAACAAAATCCAAAGCAGTGGCAAAAACTGATGTCATATAACTGTTTCCTACAACTGCTGTGTAAATAACCACAGTTTAGTCAGTGAAGTGGTCAATGTAAAAAATCTTTTTTTTTTCAAACCATATAATTGAACAGCGAAAAGAAATGCAAAGACCTCCATAAGATGTTGGTTTGACATTTTATCGTATTTTTGTTCCAACTTATTAAATCTGAATCCCAACAATCAAAACCATAACGCTCAGCTTACTGTTACATTTGATCAGATGTGCTGATCTAACCTACCACATTAATTGTTTCATCAAAATTTACTCAATAAAACTATTCATTCATTAGAAAGGATCGTGAAAAAAAAAGTGAAAGAAGATACCGTATCAGGATACACATTTTTTTTTTCATCGCAAAAGAAGGATAACGGCACTTATATGACCTTATTGCGTTGCAAGTGCCGTAAAACACTTACTAAAACTAATCTAAACGAATAATATGGCTTAAATGACACTTCAGCATCTAAAAAGCAGAGCCAAATAGTGAATGTTACAAAAGCATCTACAAATACAACAAGCAAAGAAATCAGCAACTATAATAATATACAGAAATGAAGAAGCAACACAAAATTACTCAAGTACTTTTAATAAACTCTGAACTGAAATAAACAAATACAAAATACCAGGAACTGAAGCGATAATACCAGTTCTAAAAAAATAGTTTCAAAAGCTAGACAGGACATTTAAGATTACTTGATTGATCAATAACATAACTTGACAACACTCCTTTCTCCCCACTAAATCAGGGTAAAATCAATAAGGCTGTCTCCGCGGTTGTAGGCAAAAAACAATTGATGAAATTATGCAAACTAAGCCCAAAAATGTGAAATTATGCGATTCTGTTAATTTTAACATAGAATAATAAAGGAAAATAATCAGAAATTATGAAAAAAAAAATGTTGATCAAATTTTGCTAAATTATGCGGGGTACATACAACCCCGGGGGCAGATATGGCAGAGGCAAAAAAACGAACACGTAAGCAGAGGAAACATTCAGGATTTCTCGCCCACAAAGAACAAAGCGTAGCCTGAGAAACCATGCAGCTACCATCACTCCAGCGAGAAAAGGTACCATACGGAAAAGCTGGAAACTCACACTACATAGCACAGCAAAGTCAACAGGAAAGTCAAACGAAATACTCAAGAATTACCTTTGGCTTTTTCTGAGATTTCAAACAAACAAAACAGGAAATGAGAACAAAAAAGTGTTGGCAAGCTGAAGTGATACATAACGTGAGGCTGTACGGCAATTACTAGACATCTGACTTTACAAGAAATAATATGTGTGGAAAAAAAAAAGCAAAGATAGCCGAGTAATATACAAAATTTTCAAATCAGAGATGAGATCGTTAAACAAAAGTTAACTAAATGCAATTTAGAGCCCTTTTTTCCACATCCAACATGTTCCTCTAATATACAGACCCATTGCATGGACTGAAGACCCGGAAATATTACAGAAACAATGCTGCATGTTTTTTCACGGCATCTTATGAGATGAAGGCGCAGTGCTGTGAGTGAGCCTTACACAGTCTGTGATAGATTACATTTTTGGAGCAGGGAATAAAACTCTCATTAACCCCTCCCCCCCCCCCCCAAAAAAAAAAAAAACCAAAAAAAAAACTATGGGTACACAATTTGAGTAGGACATATTAAAGTTTAGTATTTTCTTTAATTTAAAATAAAATGGTAAAAATCTGTAGGGAGGGCTGACAAGAACCCGGAAGTGTAGGCCTAGGGATGAGTGAGTTACAAGGTGCAGAGAAACAGGATGAGCTCATGAATGACGCACAAAGACTAGACCCACACCGCTGTCAGGCCCAACGGTCACACGCGACCAGACGATGTTTTGCCGGCTGTGCCACCCATACCGCCACTGTTTTTTAAAGTTTTAGTAAAGGTTTTACAGCGCTCGCAACTGCATAAGGTCATATGAGCGCCAGAAGATTAGAGGTGTTACAAGAGAGTAACAAACATAAAAAAGAAGAAGGGGAGATAAGGACGATAGATGTTTGATAGGAAAGAAGAAGCAAACAACACCAGAGCACCCGCCAACCACCTACTACTGCCACAGGTACCCGACGGTCAGACAACCTCAGTGTAACAGTAGAACACGGCGTGTAGCAGGAGGAGAGAGTTGTCGTTCTTGTTGTGCTTAGGAAAGGTGGGGGGGTGGGAGCTCTCATGGTCTAGGGGGCTACGTTGTTCGACTCTCATTCAATAGATCCCGGGCTCGAAACTTGACAGCCAAGGAAAATTTTCTCTTTGTACCTCCTTTCCTGCTCTAATGTTCTGTCATCTGCTTTCGAAGCGGTAAGCGCCGTAAAACACTCTAAAAACAAAAACCAACAGACCGTGGCAGGTAAGGAGAAAGAATTTATCGAGGCAAGATCTATGAAAATTATCCTCCTTTCGCCTGACGGATGGCGTGGAATAGACAAGCTCATTCCTAAACAGTCTGGTCTGGGATGTCCGGTGTTGGAGTGGGCAGGTTGCTGTTCTTCCTTACCCGTCGTTACAGTTCTGCCGGCGTTCATTCTTTTGAATCGGAAAATGGCCCAGTCTGACCGTCGGCCCCGACGCTGGTGTGGGTGTACCCAAAGAAAGACGAGGACACAACGACGACTGACTTTGTACCAATCATCTAACAGAACGGTACAAGTACAAGTTTCCCCCCCCCTCCCCTCCCTCCGACAAGCATCATCAGACAGGCTTTGACGTGAAATCCACAGGGAAAACATAAGAAAGGAAGACCAAAAATGACATGGAGGCGAGCGGTACAAGCGGAAATGGAAAAGTCGGGGACATCATGGAAACAGCTAGAAAAGGATGCACAGGACAGGCTTCACTGGAGAAATGTTGTTGATGGCCTATGCTCCACTGGGAGTTAAAAGGGCGAGAGAGAGAGAGAGAGAGAGAGAGAGAGAGAGAGAGAGAGAGAGGGAGGGAGGGAGAGAGAGAGGGAGGGAGGGAGGGAGGGAGGGAGGGAAGGAGAGAGAGAGAGAGAGAGAGAGAGAGAGAGAGAGAGAGAGAGAGAGAGAGAGAGACAAGCAGTTCACAGACCGACATACCTGAGGCTGCTTCTATGTTGGTCTCGCCCGTCTCAATCTTGACCACGTGCTCCAGGAGTTTGACGTACTGACTCAGAAAGTCTCGACTTACGATGTACGGACGAAACACCTGAGGAAGGCCATACGAGGAAGGATTTCAGTTGGTAAGTTTTTACGGCGCTCACAACTGCATAAGGTCATATGAGCGCCACAGGGTTGTTTAGTTTGATTTTGTAAAGTTACCTGCAATATAAAAATAACAGGAAAAGTTATACAATTTATTAACCCTTTGAGCCCTCATCACCGGTACATCAGTGGCATGTAAAACTGCCCGTATGTCTAGCCACCGGTACACCAGTGAGCGAGACCCTATCCCCAAACCAGCCCGCCTGAGACAAACCACGTGCGGGGAAACCGTGTTTACTACACAGGATGTTACTGATTATTTTGGGGTTTTTTGTTTTAGTAGAAGTTTTACGGCGCTCGCAACTGCATAAGGTCATATGAGCGCCAAGTGGTGGATGTCAACAGAGAAGTCCGTACAGGGAATCAGGCTTATTCTGCTCACCTCTCTAGCCTCAACAGTACAAAGTCTGCTTCGACTATCAAGGCACCCCGGAAACAGCGGGTCACAAGAGAGTGACAAACATACAAAAGAAGTAGAGGGAAAATGACGATAGTAAGGATTAGGAAAGAAAAAGCAGAAGTTCTCTGTTGCAATTCCGGCACAGTTATGAGGATGACATTGATGAATCAGTCCATTTACAATTCTACTGTGCACAGAACATGGTAATGTCCTCCCTTTGGGAATGGCCTAAAGACACTTCAGTCAGTAGTACCACTCCCAGGGGTTTGATTACTTGGAAGATCTTTCTCAATTAGATGCTGGCAATGACAAAATGTGGTTTCTTAGGAGACTGTTTAGAATATCAAGGAAGGAAAAGAAATCGAATGAGGTAGTGCTTGATGAAGCCCACGTGGGACGTCACTGTTAAAAACAATCAGGAAACGACAAATGCAGTTTTTGGGACACATAAATAGACATAAGGGTCTTGAACATCTAGCTCTCACTGGCAAAATTGAGGGCAAGCGAGGCAGGGGTAGTGGGCCCAGAGCAAATGGGTTGCGCCGAAAGATCTGGGTAACGTAGCTTTTTTAAAGAGCATCCGAGTAAAGGAATGAAGGGAGAACCATGATCGCCGATGTCTGTTGTGATTGCACCGCGCCGTGACACATTTGCTACACTGACCTGGCTAGTGACGAGGTGGTTGAAGATGGGCAGCAAAGGGAGGGAAGTCTTCAGCTGTTTGGCCTGCACCGTGCTCGGGTGTTTACGACCTCCGACCTGATCCAGGCAATCCAGAATCTCGTCTGACACAAAGAAAAGACAGATTTTATTGATAGACATGGGGAAACTGCAAGTAATAATAATAATAATAATAATAATAATAATAATAATAATAATAATAATAATAATAATAATAATAATAATAGATTGCATTTATATACTGCTTTTGGGGTTATAATGAGACACAGTGCACCAGGTTTAGGTGACTGTAGAAAAAAAATCCTGAAAACTGGAAATAACTCAGGGTCTAAAGAGTTAAGTTGGCAAGTTGGAAAGTGAGCTGTCTGTGCTGTACAAAGAACCGCAACATGACGCACAGCAGAGGTTGCTTGTACCAAACAAAGTCAAAAACAAAGACAATGCTCAAGTGAAAGAAAAAAAAATCCCCCAATTTTTTATTTTTGTTTTTCTATTTAGCTCTTTTCTCCGCGGTTGG